AGCCCGAGCTGCACACTTCTCATCAAAGCGGTGTCAAACGCGCACTCCTGTAACGCGAGCAGCCTTCACTCAAACGGTGCTGCGTTCATGAAAGCGCACACACTGCTCACCGGCTCACATCAGCATAAATGTGAGACCACAGATCGGGTCCAGTGAGAAACCTCTCTCTCAGTAGGAGCGGCACGCGCCTCACTGAAGCAAACGCCTGCTTCCACAGCGCCTGCAGCCTTCACTCAAACGACGCAGTGTTGATGAAGGCGCGCACACCGCTTCTCAGTGCTCGCCCGCTCGCGTCTGCATAAATGTGAGATTGCAGAACGAGCCCAGTGAAGAACCTCGCTCTCAGCAGGAGCGGCACGCATCTCACCGCAGTGGTGTCAAACGCGCGCTCCAACCATACTTCCAACCAGACAACTGTTGGACAACATCCATAGAAATGACTGGTTTAGTTCCATCGATCTGAAAGAAGGCCTACTTCCTTCGCACCTCGTACGTTCTCAAAGTGTGTGGAGATGGCCCTGCAACCGATACTCAGAGCAGGGATGAGAGTTTTGTTGTACCTAGACGATCTGTTGATGCTGTCATGCTCCAGAAGGGAAGCAGCGGCACAGGCTCAGGTGTTGACATCACACCTGCTAATTCTGGACTTCGCCATAAATTGGGACAAAGCTCGATTCTCAAAGCACTTTACACTGCAATCTATGTCCTCATTTACCCATTCATACAGCACTCTACTAGATCTCTACAAAGCTGATTGAACAAATCATTCTAATGAGACTAAACAGTGCTCTCCTTAAATAAGAGGTCTATAGTCCCTTTGAGTGTATCAAATCAAATATACAGCATATAGACAGTCTGTGGAGCATTAAGAACAGTTTCAATATTTTTAAATAAAACACAAGGATTGTGACAGTTTGACAAAATTATGTCAGTGAAGTGTTTCTTTTGGGCATCTTTCACAGTTCTTTGATAGGGACACCAGCAGTCCTTCAATGTCTGGAAAGACACTTCAAGTTTGTTCTGTTTCCCTCTGCACTCAGCTCTTTGGCACTCAAGTCTGACAGCACGAGTCTCATCTTTTAACCAAGCCTCAGATGTAGATTTAGGCTGCCTGGTTTTTAATAGACCTAGAGTCCAAAACAGTTCTGCAGGTGGAGGGAAACCAGGAGCTCAGCGCCTCAGTGGTGTTGCACACAGACTCTGAGATGACATAGTTCTGATTAAAAGCATCTGAAAACTGAGCAACAGTGGAAGAATTCAAAACATGGTAGAGCTGAGCAGCAGTGTAAGGTGGTGCAAGTGAGGGTAACATCAAATAAAACTCGAATATGATCTGAAAACACTGCATCACAAATTTCTAAGTTAGACAGGTAGACCAAAAGATAAACCAGATCAAGTGTGTGTCCATGTTCCTGAGTAGGACCAGCCATAGACTGCACAAGGTTAAGAGTCATTGAGGTTTAAAATGGCCTTTGCCATTGATGAATCAGGACAACACACATGAACATTAAAATCACCAACAATAATAACCTGATCATATCGAGACATAATTTCCGACAAAAAAAAAAAATCATCCATCCATTATCTAAAAAAGTTAAGTCAGGTCCTCTGGACGTTCAAAAAAAAATTGTAGAAATATTTCGTCTTTCATCCGAAAGACTTCTTCAGTCTGAGGAGCTGTATTCAGCTCAGTCTTAAAAATATAAAACTATATATATATATATATATATATATATATATATATATATATATATAT